AAACTATTTTAAGTTCTCTACAAGGGGCAGAAAATACTAATAGGACCCTTTAAGTTTTTCCAAATGTCAAACTGTGCTTTAAGCATTCTGCTATTATAGGATAGTACTAGTTTTTGAGCAGAACCAGTTCAAAGGTGGTCCAGATGCAGAAAATAAACTTAAAGAAGTCCGCTCATGATCAGAATTCAAACTTCTGAATGTACTTTAAATATGAAATTATTACATACTGTTTTTAATTAAGAGTAATATTCATTTTATATGCTTTACTGGAGGCATCCATGTTTGTCAAAGAACACTACTGCCACCTACTGGTTTGTGACGTCACGGTGCGGGATCGGCTGTTGATCACAACGCGCTATTATCCAAGTCATCTTGAAAACATTCTTCCAAATGTTGGCTACATATTACGTGTTTTTTCTCTGGCCAGAAGTTAAGAAATCCTCCCTCTTCAAGTTGGCGATCCAACGACCAACCCGTCCGTGGAGGATCAGGAATCAGAAAAGGTGAAATAACTAATGCTGCGTTCAGACGGCAAGCAGCAGAGGCAGCTAGTTTACATGCAAAGTCTACGGTTGATGCACATTTTGGCGCAGCAAAAAGTTCCTGCAGCGCCGCGCTTCAGGAGCAGCAGCTTCTGGAGTTGGAAAAATGTAACTTTTGCTTGCCGAGGCGCCACATAAACCAATCATGCCACTTTCAGAGCACAAGCAGCAAAAACTGCTTCATTTTTTATGCTTGTATGAGTTTAGTTCTGACGAGTGGCTGATGCATCTTTGCTGCTGTAACAATGGCAGCTACAGTATGTGGGAAAAAAGTAGTTTTAATGTGTCAGGCCAGGGGGGGGGGGGGTCAACCTACACTGTTCCAGCAGGAAAATGAACACACACAACAGGCATATTTTCTAAATAAAGACTATACTTTAACTATACTTTCCTACAGCCTTTGCAAACAAATATATTGATATATTTAAAAATCCATGCTGTTTAAATTAAAGGTGTAGAGGACAAAAGTCTTTCAGGTTTGATTTATCTTGCTCATTGTCATTACTTACTTTTATCAATAATCGTTCTGCATAAAATTAATATTTACATGTACTAATATCTACATTAAATGGATTTCACTGAAGACTCAGATCAAAATCTAGTCCTGAAAAGAGCATGAATTCTGTATTTATCATATTTAATGTTAGTATATTGATGTGCATAATTAACCACAGGGTTTTTGTTGTCATGCAATTGTTAACATATGAAAAATTAAAATGTTAATAAGTTAGAAAATTCCACTTCGAGTATTACTGCTTCCAACATCTGTATTATAGGGAAAAGAATAGTAGGGATGGACACAGAGGTGACCAATGATTGGCTTATAGTGGTCATGGCCACCCCTAGCCCCCCATCTAGCTCTGCCCCTGAAGATGAACAGCCCTTCTAGGACTAACAGCTTTTATTAAAGCCACCTGAGAGAATTCCTTATTTCTACCCTTTTGACGTTATTTTCTCGATACGCCATTAAACACTGACTGAGTGGAGTTAACTGCTGGCCCCTTCACAGCACGCTTTGAACAGTGGGGACACCGCGACCGGTCTGAAAACACTATAAAAAAATTCAGAGTTTAGATCCTGCAGATTTAAATAAAAAGTAAAAAAGAAAAACAACTCAAGTCAGTAACAGTGCTATTCAAGGTTCAGGTTTTAGATAATCTTTTATTATTTCAATAAATTATAAAACTTGTTTTAAAAAAAAATGCAGGTTTTCTTTTACGCTGTCGAAAACAAATCTCTGACAACAAAAGATTTAAAAAGAGTTCATAGTTTCAACGGTTCTGAGTCGGACTGAGGAGGAAACTTATTCCCCCTGAACAAAAAAAGCCAAGGACGGCAACTCAATGGTGAAGTGGGGGCCTTTGTCCCCCAGAGCCGCTCTGCCAGAAAACACAGAGTCGTTCAGTCCTTCCCTTTAAGCAGCGACATCACAGCGACTCGACGCACGTCCGTCCTACAGGAGGGTCAGAACAGAAAGGAGAAACACGTGAGTTAACGTCTGCTAACCTACGGTAACAAACCTGCTGCTTCTCCATGCAGCGAGTCGATTGTTCAGGATCTGAAATGACCTGAGTGAAGTTGCCCCCCCCACCTTCTTCAAATCAGACGAAATGGGTGTCAATTAACTAAGCTCCGTTTGTGCAGCAAAAAGTATTGTTTGTGCTGCTTTGGATTTGAAGATATTTACTGAAAATGTAAAGGTCAAAAGGTCAACCAGCCCCCCCACCTTCTTCAAATTAGACAAAATTGGTGTCAAACGTTTGTGCTGGTTTCATTTTATAGATATAAAGAAATGTTTCTAGAGGTCATCAAAGGTCAACCAGATTCTTCAAATCTTCAAATCCAAAGCAGCACAAACGGAGCTGAGTTAATCGACACCCATTTCGTCTGATTTGAAGAAGGTGGGGGGGCTGGTTGACCTTTGATGACCTCTAGAAATATTTCTTTATATGTTTAAAACAATAGCGGCACAAACTGACATTTTTGCTGCACAAACGTTTGACACCAATTTTGTCTGATTTGAAGAAGGTGGGGGGGCTGGTTGACCTTTTAACCTTTACATTTTCATTAATATCTTCAAATCCAGAGCAGCACAAACGTTTGACACTAATTTTGTCTGATTTGAAGAAGCTGGGGGGGCCAACTTTACTCAGGTTCTGAAACGGCTCGTCCAGAGTCATCATCGTCTGCTGGAGGAAAACAATGAACAGGTCTGTTCTATGGAGCTTTAATCAGGTGTCAAGCTTAACTTTGCAAGTTTCTCAGATTTAGTTTTTCATAAAAAATTTTTATCTCTCTCTTTTTTTCCACACTTTTACTTTTTTTTCTTCCAAAAACAGGCTTTATATTTTCATTTTTAAACCACCTGTATTATTTTTTTTTTTACATTTTGGTTTTTGAGATTCCATGATATCGATCACATTCTCCTCAGTATAATGCAGACGCTCGCTCTTGATGCGCACATTGACCGATAAAAATGTTGCATAACCTTTGCCAATAGTGCTCCTGTCACACCTTGCCGATTTAGCCAGCGTACGCCTGACGCCCCAGGATCTGCTAAAACGCTGAACTTTCAATATATTTTTCCAATTTTGGGCGTATACATAGAGTAATCATAACGAGTCCAGAGCGTGGGTCCAATGACAGCCTGACTTATGCATAACACACAGCAGCATAATGCCCATGAAATTACGAAGCATCAGTTGAAGCTGCTCCCCTCAGCCGCATCGCTGCTATGCGCCCGGTCTGCATAAAAAGATGTCTTTGATTGAGGTATTAACCTGGCTGCTGTTTACTGCCCTGCCAAAAATAATAAAGAAAAAGAAGTAGCAGCATGTCATGTCTGTTAGGATGTTTGTTGCTTGTTGGCGTGAACGCAGGGAGGATCCATCACACTCACCTTCTGGCTCACCCTGATGGGGATGAAGTCTGGAAGAGAACTGATGTTTTCCTCCTATGAACCCCTTTATACCAAAACGCTGCCAATAGCCATTATACAGTAGCTGGAAGGTAGAAACACGTTCGATGGTCGTCTGGAGTAGAGACTGACACGGGAGTGGATTTTCACTCCTGTCCCGTTCCACTCCCACAGAAAAAAAAAAAAAAATTATCTCCCGGGCCAGAGTAGAAATCTAAATCCTGTCCCGTCCCGCTCCTGGTGAAATTACTCCCACTCCCATTCAGAATGACTCCCACTCCCATTCTTGTTGTCATCAATAAGATTTCTGCCAATACATTCAATCTGAATATCTATGAAGGGTCAGTTAAGTTCCTGTTCCTAACTCTAGTAAAGGTCAGTTAAAGTAAAAGGAATAATAATTATAAAAGTAACAAACAAGGAAACAGACCATGCTTATCTTAGGTGAATAAACAATCAAACTTTTCGAAGCCGAGTTCGTCACTAACTGTTGGTCCCTCCATTGTTGTTTTTGAGCGCGGGTGAAAAACTCAGAGCGGAAGCACTGTTGGTTTTTGGGTCGTGTAGTTTTTTTTGACTCGCATTATAGTGTAGGCTTCAAGGAAGAAAACTACAAAATGGCGGCGCCAGTACTGGATTTTTTTTTTTTCTATTTTATTTTATTTTTTGGCATCGATCCTAGTTTTTTTTTAGTTACTATTGGTTTGCTCCCGCTCCCGTTA